GCGGGTGCCTAAGACCCCCACCCAGCCTGGCCTGGAGTGTCTCTGGGGATGGGGCATCCACCACCTCTCTGGACAACCTGTGCCAGGCTTTTACCTCCCTCATTGTAAAACATTTCTTTGTCACATCCTGAATCCTCCTTCTTTTAGTTTAAACCCATCAACCCTTGTCCTGTCACAACAGGCCCTGATAAAAACCCTCTCCCCATCTTACAGTCCCCTTTTAAGTACTGAAAGGCCACAATAAGGTCTCCCTGGAGTCTTCTCTTCTCCAGCTGAAGAACCCCAACTGTCCCCCCCCAGGAGAGGTGCTCCATCCCTCTGGACCCTCTCCAACAGGTCCGTATTTACCTCCTTCCTCCACACATGATCTGTCAGCCTTGCTTGGAGGAGCAGCATTCAGAAACCCCACGTTTTTCAAATGCTACAAGAATTAGGCTTTTCAGAGCTCAGCCAGCAGAGCAGCAAGAGCCCCTGTTCCATCACCAGCCGATCACATCAGCTCCCACTGTGCACATCTTGTCTGGGAGAATCCAGAGACAGCCATGAAAACAGAAGCTAAGGGTTGGAAGAGGGAACCAGCTGGGTACGGGTGGTCCACAGGAGTCCAGGAGGAACAGATGGTACATAGAGAGACTCTCAACCCAGGTCACAAGTCCTCTGGGTGGGCATCGACCTCGGAGATGTGTCGGGTGAGCCCAGGAGCCCCATGTCCCTCACGGTGGACAAAGACCGGGGCTGTGAGCTCAGCAGGGACTGCACAGACACACACAGACCCTGGCAGGGCTCTGCTGAGCTTCAGCCTCACCAAGAGCTTTAACTGTCCCCAGGGTGCAGGCGCTGCTGTGGGCCCCTCACACCAACGTGCAGGTTGACACCGTGACAGAAGCTGCTTCCTGCCCATCACAGCATCGCTGCTGCGATGAACCGGGACCCGCTGCTCTCGGCGCCGGGCGCGTTGTGGCCTCTTCCTGCCCGCGGTCTGCAGGCTCCTGGGTTTTGCTTCCTGTTCCTTGCTGGCCCCACTTCCCCATCCCTCGCCTCGGCTCCCTGCTGCTCTTGCCTGCACAGCACTTGCCTCCTCTGGCTTTGCTCCAAGTCCCTCTTGTGTTTGGGGGGAACTTAGATGGTCTTTAAGGCTCCTTCCAACCCATTCTATGATTTCAAGCCATGACCTGGTCCCTGCTGGGGCTTCTTTGTGCTGCTTCAGCACAGCAAAAGCAGTGCAGCTGCTCCATAGGAAAATATCCTCAGCAGAGAAGCAGCAGAAGCTGGACGCAAAACAGAGGATGCTACAGCTCTCTGGGCTCTAGGGTGGTGCAGCAAGAGCTCAAGAGCAGCGGATTTAATAGTAGCAGAAGGGCTGCTCTGGGGGTATTCAAGACTGCTGCGACTCCTCAACCCACCCTGAATCTGAAGCACAGAAAAAGGCCCCCTGCTGCCTCCAAAGAGCAGGCCTGGTCGTACCACTGAAGACACAACACAACTGATGGGCAATGAATAACCACCACAACCTTTTGCATTCCCACGCAAACACAAGGCTTCTGCTACCAACCTGCCTTGGAGCCCAGGAAAGGACATTTTCCAGAGCCTAAAAGCTCAAGCCAACAGATTCATGTAATAAAAACTCTTTTGGAAAACAATAAATCAGCAAGAATCCATCTACATCCACACCATCCAGATGTCCAGTTCTGGCCAAGATACAGAGCACCAGGCAGAGATCAACAGCAGAAGAACAAGTGACATGACAGCTCACAGTGCCAGCATTTCCTGGATATAATGCAATACACCCACACCCAGGCAAGATTAAATCCAGAAGATACTGTTCCTAGTTTAGACTTCACTCTCCTCGAGCTGCTGTAGTGTCATATTAAGCCAACCTCTATAGAGATTTGAAACTATATTTGCTTCAGGAGTGGATTTAGAGAGGAAATATACCTCGTGTCACCTCGCCCTGAGCCACACTGTGCATAGAACACACAGCACCAGGAATAAAGAAAGGCAGAAGAGGTTTTTAAGCTGCATTTCTTTTGTGTGTTGGTCAGTGCCTTGTCGCTGATCATTTCTACCTTCAACCCAAGCCTCCAGATGTTTTCGTCTCCCGACCCCTGTTCAAGCACCACCTATGGCCAGGTATGGTGAAGAGTCAAGTAAGGACTACACACTTGGTATCTGTGGAAAGCAGAATTACTGTAGAGCTACTTACTTTAGAGGGGGGTGAGTAGGAGGGGAGTCCAGGAGAAAACATGCCCTGATACAAGCCTAAGGTGTGAATCCCGTGTTCAAAAAGCAAATGTTAAGCACTGAACATACCGAGTGGGAAGAAGAATGAATTGGGAAGCACCTCCTCAAGTGAAGGCAACTGCAAGTCTCTAAGTTCCTCCTTCAGCAAAGGCAGGATTGTCAGGTTCTAACACACAAGAAGGGTGGCAGGAAGCAGCAGGAGGTGGTTATTTCTGGTTCCACAAGACATTTTTGTTCTGGGACAAGTTCACTTGTCTGGTTCTCATCTGTTCTGGACCATCCCACTCATCTGTTCATTTCATGCGCAGGGGGCTCTATTGCATCAGGTTGTTAACCCATTTCTTCTCATTTGAGCATATTTTACGCTAATCAACATTTCAGTGTTTAATTGACATAGCAACAAGCTCTACCATGGCCTGGGAAAGGCGACTGGAGGGAAGGTTGTGGTTGGGGCCCAAGGGACAGCATCTCGAGGGACCACGGTGGCATTCAAACCACTGCTGAAGTGACTGTGACACCACGAGTGGGACCAGCACAAGGGAAAAATGAGCATTTCAGCAAGTGATGTAGCTGAGTTTTAGAGCAGCTCTATTTCTGTCCTTTCCTAAGATAGTATGGCTGGAAAAAAGAAATGCAGCCGAAAATACTTGGAAATGTGGTTACCCATTCTCTTGCCCTGCTCTGGGACAGCAGAGCTCATCCTGTCCCACATCTTTAGTACACTCAATGCAAGACTATCCAGCAGGCTTCATTTCTGGAAGGGAGCTCACGATATGACAGGGCGATGGGGAATGGCTTTAACCTGCCTTCCCAACCCAAACCATTCCATGATTCTATGGTATCTCCCATTTGTGTCAAGTCCCGAGGCCTTACTTCTCCACATTTTTGCTTTCTAAACTAGGCAACATCTTCAAAGGAGAAACAATTCAGGAACCTTCAGCTGTTTCCAGGTATTTAGAATCAATACATTTCCAAGCAGCCTGAGCTTCACAAGCTAGAGCTGGAGTTCTCCACTTAGCAAGCTATTCTGGAGAGTATTCCCTAGTTCTCAGCTGAAGTAGAACACAGCAGGGACTCAGGAATCCCCACACTAACCGTCTGCTGGTCTTGATATCAGCTGCCCTCTCCTCACCTGATGATGACCTACCCTGTTAAACAGTGATGAATCAAGAACATCTACAGACCAAGACCTGGAGTGAAGAGCTCAGCACTGCAGCAAAATGCAGATGCCAACCTCAGCTCCTGCTCTCCACCAGTAGGATCTACAACTATCTGAAAGGTTGTAGCAAGGTGGGGGTCAGTCTCCTCTCCCAGGTAATAAGCAACAAGACAAGAGGAAACAGCCTCCAGTTGCACTGGGGGTTTTAGATTGGCATTAGGAACAATTCCTTCCCCCAAAGGGTTGCCAAGCACTGGAACAGGCTGCCCAGGGCAGTGGTGGAGTCACCATCCCTGGAGGCATTTAAAAGATGTGGAGATGTGGTGCTTAGGGGCATGGTTTAGTGGTGGGTGGTCTTGGCAGAGCTGGGTTAATGGCTGGACTCTGATCTTAAAGGTCTTTTCCAACCTAAGTGATTCTCTGATCTCCACATGAAGAGCCAACAAAGCAGCCCAGCTCCTCTCCTGCAAGGTTGAACGGATGAATGTCACCTACCTCAGCGGCAGCCTTGAGGAGGACACGTGCCTCACCGATCCAGGAAGCAACCTCTCACCGATAGGACACTGCTCCAGCTGTCCCAGAGAATAAATACCTGAAAGGAACAATTTCTTCCATCAGTTCAGGTCCTTAGTTAGAAGGAAAACAAGTTAATTGTCTTATTCACTTTATCCCGAGGCACCACTTGCACAGGAAATGAGACACTCGATTTGCAAACCACCGCCAGTAAAAGGCTTTCATATAAATGATAGTTTTATTGTAAATAAAATGATACATTGGCCTGGCTTTGCACTGCAAGCCCCCGGTCGGTACATATAGACTACTGGTTCAAGGTCTTCTGCACAATCCAGGTTAAAGCATTTCCCCCTGCCCTACACTATGTCAGACAGGTTAGGGACAGGTAACAAAGGCCCTTCCTTCCTTTCTGAACTGCCCCCCAGGCACAGGTACCTTTACTAACTGGGAAATCAGAGCTGCTCAGTGAGATCTGCTCCTGAACAAGGCTGGGGTTTCAAGACCTGAAGCCCAAATACCATTAAACCACGGAGGACACCTATTTCAGATTGAGAATTAAAGACAGACCGAATGCTCCCAGCTCCAAGGGCAGGTACCACAGGACTGTATCCAAAGAGATAAAACCTTCCCATGCAGCAGCTATTAACCTAAGCACCAGTCACTGGGATCTCACTCAGCGCCCTGGATCTTTGCCTACCAGAAGCAGTGTGTACAGCAGGGCTGGGTGTGTTTACTGAGGATTCCCATGTTATCCTGGCTCTTTGGGCACTTGGAAATCCCACGTGTTACCTGAGCAGGTACCAATTTCCCTCTTGGTCAATTTGTTTTGGTGATTAATGGCAATGGGAACTGTTAGTTTGGAGCATCTTCAAATCCTTTGGAATACTACCCCCAAAATGGGACAAGAATAATCCAAATTGCTGCCACTAGAATAGGCAAAGGTCAGATTTAGTGGAGAACAAGCAAATAACCTGGAATGCTCAGAATCGTCACACCAAGACCAAAATGCCAACAGTTTGCTTCCTAACAAGCTCAGGGAGAGGGAAATTCCCCATTCCCCCAGGTTCCTCTCTGATGGGAATCTCAGGCATTTTCCTGTTTCAGGATAATGGGAACAGTTTCAACTATTTCAGGATAATAGGACTCCTCAAAGCTATTTGTCTTCAAGCAGAATATTCCCCATTTCTGCAGCACCTTCCATCCAGGATTCATTCTCAATACATCCCGCCCTGGAAGGAACAGCAGAAAACATGGCACAACATTTGGAACAGAATCACAGAATCAACCAGGTTGGAAAAGACCTTTAAGCTCATCCAGTCCAACCTTTACCCCAGCACTGCCAAGGCCACCACTAACCCATGGCACTAAACGGACACCCCAGCTCACTGTCAGCCTGGCGCTGCTCCTCCATACTCCCTTAAATGAGCTTATTCCCAGGTTTTTATCCAATCCTGCCAGGATAAAGGGGTCAGATGGAATTCAGTCCAGAGGTGTCATAACATTTATGTCCACTTGAAACTTTTTTGCTGCCAGGGCCATGTATAAGTGTTGGTCCCAAGCTTATCCATTGTAGCAGTGGACTTTGGCATCCAGATCTTTCCCATACCCAAGAGGGCAGTGAGGAAACAACGGTGGCATTTTTGGCTTGGCTTCACTTGTTCTAAACCATCAGCAAATTCTCTGCAAAACCAGCTGCTTTTTTTCCTTTGTAAGTTCATAAAGGAGTCAAATGTATTTCCCCTCCTCCCCCCCACCCCGTAACAGTCGATATATATAAAAATCACCAAATATGATCTTTTACCATATAAATAAACAAAAAAAGTATGAGGCATCACCGTTTACATGATGTAAAAAGAGCTAAAAAAAGAGCGATAGAAACTACATTCATAAAAGTGCATCTCCAAACATACAAGTAATGCTTTGGCTTGTTCCTGTGCCAAGTAGATGGCATTGGGTCAGGTGCTGGGATACAGGAAGTCCAAGCTGGCATCCCGTGTTCTCTGTCACTGTACAATTGCTATTTGCTGTCATTACTACACACTGGAATACAAGTGTATACAGAGTAGGCACATTTCAGCACAGGTGGTGGGAAGGACCAGATGCTTTGGTGGGGAGAGGACTGAGCCCATCAGTCCAGGATGCTCTTTGCTCTGCTCTGGAACAGCCTTCCATGATGTGTATGAGGTAAAAGCCACAACAGATCCTGAGGATTTAGTTGCTTTGAAACATTAAAAGTGACACCATTTCCTCGTGCCTGATTCTCTCCCAGAACACAATGCATGGGATAGCAAGGAAAGACCATGGAAGAAGGTCTCAATTTGGTGAGGACAAGCCAAGGGTGAAGAGGAACCTGTGCAGGCAGGATCACTACACTCTTGATTGCTGCTGCACGTCCACAGGGTGAAGTGTGATGAAGAAAAGACTCCAATCTTTGGTATATTTAGGTGCTAGCTGCAGGGCTTGAAGAGTGCTGACTCCCCTACTCCTGTCATCCAGACTACAGGAATAATTTCACATTCCTCTGCTGCAGAGGCAGCCGTTTATCCCACAGCAAAGTGCTGCACAAAGCTCCCTAACACAGAGGAACAGTGTCGTGCCCTTGCGTCCCTTGGGTGCAAGCAACAGTGAAGCGCAGGCTGAGAGTCAGGCCACGTGTCTTGACAATTTGGAGTCAAGTTCCAGGTTTGGAACAGATTAATACAAGTGCTCTCACTAGAATTAATAAATTATGGGACAAGGGCTTTCATAAAAGGCATCCCCCTTAAGTGCCTACAACCTAAACAGTGCATCCTTGTAGCAGTGCAGGAGAGCCCCAGAGTGAAAGCAACACTAGTACGCATTGCTCCGAGTTTGGCACAGAAAAAACACTTCAGATTGTTAAACCCTTTCAGGGATTTTTGGTTATTTGGCATTTTTAAGGTTCTTTTTTTCCCTCTTTTAATTCAATCCAGTATTTCTCATGTGTTCAAGGTTTCATTAAAACTTGCCTTATCCTACTATTAGTATTCACTTAAAACCTGTTCATTTTACTGCATTAGGAAAGCAATTTTCAAGTCTTTATGGGGGAGGAGTGGAGGTTATGTAGAGCCTTAGTAAGGTTTCCAAAACAAGAGCAAAACACCTTCAGCGTTGCTCTACAAAGCAGTATTTTAGCAAATAGCACATTTCCTTAGTTTCCTTTCATACAGATAACTTCTAATTACTCCATGAATCCCCAGCAGCTCAAAACTGCTGGTCTTTTAGGAGTGAAATAAGGACTATCAGTGCCCAAATCAACATAGCGTATTTGAGGCCATTCAGCCATTGGGAACTCAGTTCTCAAGAGATTTGGTACTTTTCACTTGGTACCCATGTGGGGATCTCCAGTTAATTTTAGCAATATTCTAGCATTGCACATGTTCTCTCTGGTTCACTATTTGAATTAAAAGCTTCTTGAAATAGGGCTGTAACATTTTATGGCAATCTTAAATGAACACTTGCACGCCTGTAAAACAAAACACACACACTGAAGGGTTGAGCTTGAGTCTAACTTACTGTGCACAAGTAAAACTAGTGTCCAGCTCAATCTCCTCCCCATAAAAGCCTCCATTTTCTATTAGGCCAGGTCCCCAAAGAAACACATAAGCTCTTCCTGAAGTAAATTCCTGGGCACCACAAGAACTCTCTTTGGTTTAAAGGATGGTAAAAAGTTACCAGCCAAAAACGTAGGTGCGACAGAAAGCTGTTCCACAATACTCCCTTCCAGAAGGGTTTGTTTGGACCCAGCAGTCCCAGAGGGATGAAGCGGGAGCACAGATTTTTTGGCTATGAGGACACAAACTGACACTGTCTTAATGCTAGGACAGACTGAGCCTTGGAAATCAAGCTCTGGATTTTCTAACATCAGTGGCAGAGCCCTCGTCTCAGGCCCTGGAGTGATTGCATTCTGCTGAAACTTTGCTGATTATCCTGCCATTTAGCTAGAAAGACCTCCCTCACCCCTACCCCCAAATCCATGGTTTCATTATAAAATAACACTATTCACATACTTCTGAATCAGTATTTTCTGAACACCTTCAGATGCTGAATACTTAAGAAGAAAAATACATCATTATATAGCGAGCGCACGCTCAATGACACATGGCTTTTTGCTGGAGTCATGTCCTATAGATGCCTCTAAAGCCCTAGCAGTCTGGAAAACAGTGACCCACACGTAGCGAGCTGGCCTGGATGGCTGTTGGCACGTTTCTCTTCTGAAGAGTGTAGCTCTTCCAGTTCCCACTTTGGTTCAGCTTTCTTCTCCGTTCAACCAGTGAGACACTTCCCATTCTTGGGCCTGCAGAAAACATGCAGCCAGCTGCAAATTCACATCAAGGTAACTAGGGCAAAAATGCAGCTCTGTTTGGATAGCTGGCAGTAGAACAAACATCAGTCCAGCAAACAAAGGAATCAGGCACAAGAGCAGACCCTAGGTTCCTTGGCATAAATTTCCCCAAAGGACTAGGCCAGCTGAGTTGGCATTTGGAAGATGCAGCACCACAATGGGCGGTTGCAACTAGACCAGACGGGGCACGGAGAGCCCAGCAGGAGCTGCTAGCAAGGGAGGTAATTCAGTACTGGAGCTGTGCAAACTGATGTCTGAGCAGCTCTTCAGCAGAGGGTCTGTGCCTGGCTTCCACAAAGATCTGCTTTAGAAAGTCCCGGCAATGTTCTGATATGTGGGAAGGGAGCTGGGGGTTGGTTGGTTGGGTGGCGATCTTGAAGATGGCTGCCATGGCTTCGTACTCTGCCCAGGGTGGTTTCTCTGTCAGCATTTCCACAACTGTACAACCCAGGCTCCTGGAAAAGCAGGAAAGGAAAAGAAGAGGCAAGAATTGACACACGGTAGCACACAGAACATCTGAGCAGTGAACAGCAAGGTCCAGCTCTGCTCTCAAACCAGCAGGAAAATAGCTTTGTGTTCAGCAAACCCCAGGTTCCGAGCCAGACCTGCCAAGGTTGCTGCTTTTCTTACTGCCAGCTCAGCAGTGAAGTGCTGAGACAGGGAGGTTGGTTTCTCACTGCACCAAGAACTGTTTAGTGCCATCTGTCCAGCTCCCTTTTGCTCAAATTCTCCTCTTAGCAAACATCTGCATCAACAACAGGGGACACGAGGTGCACACGAGATGTCCCTGAAGGTGCTGTCTGACCTCAGTGGTATTTAAGTGTTGCTGCTACTGTTGTTTCTCTAAGGCACTTGGTGAATTGCAAGGTAAACCCACACTTTTTAACCAAGGTCCAGTGAATCCCAGCTGACTGACCCTAAAAAGTCAACCTCCTTTTCAGTGCATAGCCTCAGAATGCCCCAATATCTCCATAAGAAACCAACCATCGTAGACAGTCAAAAAGTAAGTAAAGCCTTAAGAGCTCCAAAGTGAGAAGGCAGCAAGTTAAAACACCAGCGGGGCAAAACTCCCACAGTTAATGAAGCTTTGCAGGCTACTTCAAGGCAAGGAGGAGATGATGAGGATGGACATGGCTGAGCCACCTCTCTGAAGCAAGTGTGACACCAATATTCATAATACCGTAATATGATTAATTGCTTCCTCCAGGCTACAGATTAAGCAAAAGGAGTTCGTGAAGATCTAATATCCAGTCCTTTCTGATCACATCTTTCCATGGAAAAGGCAAAACTGCCTCTTGTACCTTTAAACTAAACCCTCTTTTGAAGTGAAAAGCAAAGAGAAGACCTTTTCAGAGGCAGGCTTGCATCAATTGCCAAGACAAGGAAGGAAAGGAATTAAATCCAGTGAATATGCAAGAAATGATTTCTTGACAAGGTTTAAAATCCAACGTGAAAATCTTACCCTGGTTTCTAGCCATTTAAGACTTACTAGAAGAGAGTACAGAAAATGCAAACCATGTGTGCTCAAGTGCTGGGGGCCTGCTCAAAAGCAAGCAGGGATATATTATTGTTTAGACTGATTTATACCGTTTAAGCAGATCCGGTTTCTTTAAGATATTCAGCAAACTTTTCAAGTCACTCCAGCAATAACAAATAGCTCACATATTCTGCTATTTAGGAAAAAGAAAATTGGAGAGGGGCCTGCAGCAGTGGCAGAAAGCCAGTGGCTTAGATCTGTTACGTCTTTGAGCCTCTCGGCCATACACATCCACCCCAGCACTAATGCTGCACTGGAAACTTCTGACCCCCCTAAAGAACCATTGGGATTGTAGGAACTGGAGCCCAGCCAACAGCAGCGTCTCTTTGATGGGAATGGACCAATGTCAGCACCAAGAGGAAATCCACAACTGCACCAACCCAGGGGGAAAGGCACGTGCACCATTCTCTCCCCAAGCATCCCAACGGGGAGAGGCTGCAGAACTTAACTCTTTCCATACGAGACACATTTCAGCTGTTTCCACTCGCTGCTTGTACAGGAAACAGCATTGGCCTCGCTTTACTGTGGAGAGACAAACACACCTTGTGTTGCTGTCATTTAGTTTAGCTTTATCATCTCACCTTTTTAGGGCCTCCAAAACTAACATTCTGACACAGGACATTTGGCTCTTTCGACAGAGGCTGTTTCTTGGCTATGCCAATAATAGCATGACTATAGTTTCCATTCATGCATAGTTCAGATCATCTCTGATCTTGACCTGTATCTTTTGTGTTATTCCAGGTTTGGGCATCTTTCCTCTAAAGCTCAAATTCTCTGTTCCGTTCATTTCCAGTGTGTTATAAGCATACCTCTCATTTTATAACCAAATGAATGGATTCTCCCTAAACAACCCTCGGCCTCTCTTAGGAGGGATATAAGGAAGAGGGAAACCTTGCATCAGTCAGAAAACAGAAAATCAGCTATCAGTTTGAGGGAGAAATGAGTGGAAACTGTCCCTGAAGAACTATAGGAGCAGTTGCATGCTGACACTGCAAAGCACAGCCTGCAGCAGGTCATGTCTTGAGTTCAAACCAACTCCTCCAGTTTCTGCTCCAGACAGAATCACAATTTGGATATATGGAGGACAGAATGTATATGTCTTATCTCACTCCAGAAAAGGTGTGAATTGATCTACGGACAGAAGGTTCAAGCCTCACCATACGTCAGCTTTTCTTCCATAGCCTTCTCCGCTGATCACCTCCGGGCTCATCCAGTACGGTGTGCCCGTGACAGAGCGGATGCCTGTTCCAGACATACAGATTGTCTGCAGCCGTTTGCTGGCCCCAAAGTCCCCAAGCTTCACATTCCCAGCAGAGTCACGGAGAATATTGGCTCCTGGACAAGAAACAAAGAATGGAGACAGCTGTTTCCATGCAATCCAACTGCTGGATCCGCAGCCTACGGAGCTGATATCCAGCCCTGAAATACCATGCTCATGGTATGGCTTTTTCCCCACGAAGCCTCAGGTGAGCTGCTAAGCATCATTTCTGTAATGCAGGCTGTAGACAAGCCAACTGCTAATGGCTGTAAATGGGAAAAACTTCAGGGGAAAAACACAAGGAAGTGAAGGGGGAAGGGAAATCAGAGCTGAGTCAGCACCATCATTGTTACACCGCCTGTAAACAGCTCAGCCTATGCAGGGCCCCCAGGCCAGTGGCTGGATAGCACATAGCTGTGTAGGAAATATTCTTATTGAGATGCTGCTTTGGCGAGTACAATCATTGCTTTCTGGTCAGCTGGGTAACAGATGCAGCTAATGAAAGCACTCGAACTCCTACAATAAACAAGTCAATCTCCACACTAGTGGGTCAGAGGTTCTGAATGTGAAGCAGCAGGATAAAAAGCAAACTTAAGAGTGTAGCTTTCTTACCTGCCCAGAGAAGCTGTGGCTGCCCCATCCCTGGCAGTGTTCAAGGCCAGGTTGGACAGGTTGGACAAAGGGGCTTGGAGCAACCTGCTCTAGTGGAAGGTGTCCCTGCCCATGGCAGGGAGTTGAAACTAGATGAGCTTTAAGGTCCCTTCCACCCCAAATCATTCCATGATTCTATGATATGTGGACGCAAATTAAGACTTAGACACCAAACCCAATTCTTCCTCCAAAGGCACAATAAGATAAAGAACCCTGAGTTGCCACTATGTGATATGTGCCTATGTGAAATCCTTCTGCCCTTAAAGAAAATGCCCTTCTGCTGGGACGTAGTTTCATCACTTCACTTCCCCACTGGAAGAGCTGAATTCAGTGGTATACAAGCTGTTATTCAAGAATCAGCAGCATCTTTCCCTTTGCCAGCCCAGAGGGCATGTAATGAAGATTTACAGGCAGGAACAAGAGGGCATTTTTCCTGCAGTGAGCAACCCTTCTGGTCCCTCTAGAGCACAGAAGAGTTTGTGTGGTGTCTGCCACATCTGTTGACATCAACTCCTAAGGAGACTGGCTGGCTCCATGGGGTTATACTGGGAAGAGGAAGATTAAGGACTAATCACAGAGGCTCTACATGGAAAAACTGGAAGTTTCTTACACAGAGGAGGCAGGACACTCACAAGAGCCAGATGTAAGCAGGATTGTCAAGGACAGGCCCAGAGCACTTATGGCAGTTGGGATGCCTACCACCTGAGAAACAGTACTTTGGCTCTCAGGTCCTGTTGAGAACAGCCCACCTTCCCTTACCCAGCCCAGAACATGACCTTCCTTAAGCTGCGCACACGGACAAAAGACCACAATGGGATAAACTGAGCAAAGCAATGTCCAGGAGTGCCAATACTTGGTTTGTGTTTTCAGAGTTCCTTTAGCACGTGGGATATACATCAGTCACGAGCTGATCTCACCTTTTATGTCCCTGTGCACAATCATGTTGCTGTGAAGGTACGAGACTCCCTCGAGAATCTGGCGAGTGTATTTTCGGGTTACGTTTTCCGTGAGAGCACCATAAGCCTTCAGCTGGTCTTTCACTGACCCCTGCACCAAAAGCAAACAGAAAGGATTGACAAAGAAATGCCAAACCACACATCTTGCAGTCTCCAGTCAATTCCCACGAGCTGTAAGTGTGTATACACCCAGCTGTCTCCTGAAACCTTTTTGGGAGGCTCTCACAGCATTTTGCCCTAAGAAGCCCCTTCTAAGAAAAGCAAGGACATGCTTTATGGCAAAGACAGCTTAAGGAGGTTCTGATTCCTCCACTCTTGTGCTGTGCTGGTTCAACTGTTTGTGAAGAC